CCCTTCCCCCCATTCCCACTAATTCCCCTGCAGCCCTCCTCTCCTGTCCCCATGTGTCCCTGCACCCCCACTCCCATTCAGCCCCTGGTTCAATGCTGTCATCCCACTAGCACCTGTGCTCCCACCTCAGTCTGTCCTCCCCACTAGCCCTTCTGAACCCCAGTCTGTGACCCACCTTGTGCTCCACTCTGTCCGTTCCCCCCACACCTTGAGCTGCCTTACCTGGTCCTGAGGGCAAGTCGCTGTGAGAAACGCAGTCTCTCACATTCCCTATCTGTGACTGGCTGAGCGGCTGCCTTCTCTTCTGGTGCCATAGCAGCCCCAATGGGGAAAAGGTGTGATTGCAGTGTCTCTCCAACAGAATGTATTTTCTGCAGAGAAAAAAAAATCTGCGGGGAACATAAATTCTGCATGTGGTTAGTGGCGCAGAATTCCCCCAGGAGTAAGCTTTGCACTAGAGCAATTGACTGAAGACATTACCACAACCAAAAAGGCTACCCTAGTAGTGTTCCTATTAAAAAATGTACTTCCTTCCAAAAAAAGAGAGGGGGATTTCTGAAGATTTCAAGCTGCAGAATTGACCATATGGTTCTACTGCAAACCCTACTTCTTGGAAGCAGAATAAAACATTTTGTGCTGTAGTGGGAAAAAAATAACTATATACAGTAGAAGTGGGTTTTATCAAAAATTTCAAAAGGTCTTGTGATTCCTTTTTTAGACATCCTGTTATTTTTCAAACAGTAAAATTGCTGATCACTGAAGTCTTCAGCAATAAATTTAGTACTTAAGAAAGATGTGCTTCACAAGAATACAATAGGGTCACCTTCATTCTGACAGGTGTGTAAGAAGACATTTAAATAGTCATTTTTAAAAAAATAGTGCTTATATTTAACTCTTCCCTTGTTCATAATACTCTTAAATGTGGTGGATTTTTATACATTTTATTCTTTTCTATTTGGTACATTGAACCTGCCCATTGGGTTACAGAGCTTGAAATTAACACGTCTTTTCAGTTAACTTCCTTGTTTGCACCAGCATCATCAATGATGTTTGGAGGGCTCTGTGAATAAAATTGTACTTTAGAGGCAGCATATTTACACATGAACCCAAACCATTCTTCTGCACCCTGAATACTTTAGTTTGTGATGGATTGCTTCATCTTTTGCATCCAACTGACTTGTGGCAGAGTCAGTTTGATGTACTTTCCTCAGTCTGTCTCTCTCTAAAATTTATTTTTCCCGGGTGTTTGTCTGTCTGTATAGGACATGGTCACAGCAGAGACAGCTCCCTCTGTTATTTTTATCTTATTGTCGACACTGACTGAACTGAAGTAAAGGAAAGGCAAATTGTGCACACACTGAGGGAAAGCTCAGCAGCAATTTCTCTATTCCCCCTCCCCTCAGTGTCCTGCTTTCCCTCCACCATACTGACTGATCTGACAAAGACGTTGGGGGTTACGGATTGCTCCTCCTCTTTACAAGAGGTTCCAAAGTCTTATGAAGCAGCCTGAAAGATTTCTTTAAAAAGATTATCAATTTATGTGATCGCTATTTAAAAAAATTGGGGAAAAAATGCTTAACAGCATGATAAAGAAGGGAAAGAAAAGATATAATGGGGGGGGGGGGAATTGAGACATGTAACACTTTTTTTTTAATCCTCCAATTATTCTCCTCATCTCACACTTCAGTCATTGGAGAACAGACCACTAAAGAATAGCAAAATTGTACTGAAAGGTGACACAGAAGAAGACATCTTTCCTATCTATCTCGCCTAGCCATTAAATCCTCAGCCCTTTCTAGTTGTAAAACTTTGCCTATAAGTTCTCCCAGCAGCCAAGTCCAAATAATACAAATTTCCAAAGGACAAGGTTTGTCCCAAAGGCAGACCTTTTCTTTGTTTTCTTGCTTTCAGTTCTACCAGGTTCTCCATTCTAGTTGAAAGAAACTCTATTCCTAAAGAGAAACTTGAAGCCCCTGAAAATGTTCGACTATTCTGATTTCTGGCTAACTGATTCACACTCCCTTCATGTAGCCTGAGCACTGCTGGATTGGCTCACTGAAATTCATTTTCAGAATTAGTCATTTAAAAATTAGCACCTTATGCCAGATCTTTTTTGTTATTGTCCGAGGTGATCTTAATAATGATGGCATGACACAGACTATGAACTTCCCATAAAGCTAAAACTGACTAAAATCTTTTTTCATAGGATGTTTGAAGAATATTTTTTTAGGATTAATTGACATTTTTTGGCACTATTCTTCATAACTGAAAGTTTCTCCTTCGGCAGAGCAGAGGAAATGTTTTTCTTTAGAGAATTCCATGAAAAGTTGTCCTCTTTCAAAATGGCTGCTATCTCCCATTGTTGTCAATGGCACTGAGGCCACTGGCTGCCTATAGCATAAGATGGCTACGGTAGTAACACTGTTGGGGGTAGAAGGAGAACAATGTAATGTTTCTACATATCTGTTTAACTAACTGCTTCAAATAATCATATACTATGACAACAAGGTGGAGTTAAATTTGTTTGGGTGTCCTGACTGTGTATTTTGGTATCTTAACACCTTTACATTTCTTTTAACTGTAACTGTAGCTTTGAATGTCCACATCAATAATATTTGGATTGGGGATAATTAAACATTCCTGTAATGTAGTTTGCCCTAAATTACTAATGTGTATTCTCCACCATAACTAAAATTATGAAACACCCAAACTCCATTTTAATTTAATATTTATTTGGGAACATATTTAGGCATTCTGAATATCTGACCAATCTGCCTTGAAATCCTATTATTAGAGCTCTGGCCCTGGTCCTGCAAACATTGCTCTGATTCTTACTACTCACGGTAGTGATGTTAATCACATGCTTAACTGTTTGCAGGATTAGGGGCCTAAGGTTGTGCTGCATATCATGCCATATGTCATAACCAGGTTAATTTTCCTTTAGATATGCAATAAGAATTTGACCCATGAACTTCATGTCACAAGTTATTCCTCCATAGAGATTCTTTACCTGTAAAGAACAAAATACATTCATTTTGTGCAATTTTCTATAACTATATTAATTCACAAGGATAAACTTCTTCATTAGTTTCTAAACTAACAGGGCTCAATGAATCCCCTGTGAAACTCTGTTGACTACCTTGGAGTTATACCAAAGATGAACTGGAGTCATTAACTTCTAAAATGTAATCTTCACTGGGATGGGAAGCCCTACAAGCATTAAGTAACGTGCTGTTGGAAGAGTACAGCAGTAAGAAAACAGGAAAATTAAAGAGTTGCAAAGAGATTGAAGAGCAAGTATTTAGTAGTTTTGATACATACTGTGAAACTTTGGCAATTCTAAAGAGGAATTTGATTATTTGTAAAAACTTTTCTGTGGTATAAATCACAAGAGTATCTAAGTGCTTCACAATTAATGTAGCCTCACAGCCCCTATGAGCTTGGAAAGTATTGTTAACCTCATTTTATAGATGTGAAATTGAGGCACAAAGAGAGAAAGCAACTTGCCCAATGTAATACAAGAATTTTGTGGCAGAATTGGGACCAGAACCAAGATCTCTTGAGTTACAATTCAGCCTTAATGTAACCAAGAGATAGTTGCTTTTGCGGTTTTCTTTTATTTAAACTGGTAACAATTGGAAAACTGAAGTTTTTGTAGCTGTGTTGGTCCCAGGATGTTATAGAGACAAGGTGGGTGAGGTAATACCTTTTATAGGACCAGCTTCTGCTGGTGAGAGACACTTTCAGGCTTACACAGAGCTCTTCTTCAGGTCTGAGAAACGTATTCAGTGTCACAACTAAATACAACGGTTGCTGCTAAGCTATGCTTCCTTTTTCTTCACGCTGTGGAGTTTCCATATGTATTAACTACTTAGGTTAAACAATCTGTTCCATTTTGTGTTTAGCTGTGGCACTCTGAGTACATTTCCCAGACCTGAAGAAGAGCTCTGTGTAATCTTGAAAGCTTGTCTCTTTCACCAACAGGAGATGTTCCAATAAAAGATATTACCTCACTCACCTTGTCTCTCTGGAAAAAAAGAAGGCATTTAAAGATTTAATACGTTCTGTGATTTGAATTTTTATGCTATGGTGATTCAAACTGCATCCTGAAAATTCTTTGGAGTCACAGTATGTGGAGTCTTTTCTATTTTTGTAAATTTCCTATAAAAAATTGAAAAAAATCTCTTATTATCCATGCTTTAATTTTGTTTCAGATAGTTAGCTTTGTACCCTCTCTGATTGGCAGGTTATAAATCTACACACTATTGTGAAGTTAAGTTTAAGTCTCTCGTTTCCCATTGTAGCCCAGAAGAAGAATCCTCTTCCTCATCCAGTGATGAAGATGAAGATGATAGGAAACAAACTGATGAACTATTAGGAAAAGTCGTGTGTGTAGACTATGTTAATGTGGATAAAAAGAAAGTTCTGTGGTTTCCAGCCTTGGTAAGTGTTTAATTTATATTTTTAGAGGCTTTTAATCTTTTCTAAGCACCAAATGAATAGTAATTGTCCTTTTTTCTTTGTCATGTAGGACTCACATGCAACCAGTGTACACAGTTGTATGTTTCTTAAAATTAAACAGTATCATAATTGTCCAGGGGAAATATGTATCAAAAAAGTTTGCTAATAAAAGCAAATGCTAATGTGGTTGTAATCTTCCAAGCAGTCAGACTTACTGATTTTCTTAATTTCACTTGAATAACTTGTGTTAGGGTTCACTGCTAAATAACCAATGTTAGCTTTTCTAGATTACTGTGATTTTTACTTCAGTACCAAGATTCATTAAAATGGATAATTTAAGAAATGCTCAGTAACTGAATAAGCACCTTGTTTTTTCTTCCATGATCTTTCTGGCTGAATACAAAGATAGTTTACTATCATATTTTCAAGGAAATTTTCACTTAACTTCTTTGACTAAATATCTGATTTTAACTGATTTTTTTTTTAACTGAAAACACCTAAAACTTCATTTGCATCTGGCTGGTATACTTAGTAAATGGTTTTCTCATACATAGTACAAGAATGTCTATGACTTTTTCACTGTGAGGTATTCTGCTCTTTTCTCTTTGGCTCTGGGAGCAGTCTTGCTGAAGACTCTTTATTTTTCATTTTAGCAAAGAGGCCTGTGCACTCCCTCTGTTGAAAAGTTGCTGTACTGCATGCACCATCAGCCCAGTTAACTGTCCCTGGTGAGTGCAGTAGCTGTCATCCTCTGCTCTCACTCTGAAACTTGCTATTCCTCTCCTCCTGTGGCTTGCTGTGCGGTCCAGTGGCTTTCCGAGGGAGTGCAGCAGTGCCTATGGAGGTGTGGGTGATGAGGCTCGGAGGGGAGAGTCATCAAAGCCGGCAAAAGCTAGCCAAAAAAAGGCAGAATATCTAGCAGTGAGATGTTTGTGTTAGTGGATGGTAGCATTATGATAAATTAAAAATAAGCAAGGAAATAAAACATTTTACTTAGTTGAAGGCTGTAGTTAAAACTATGGTGGGATATCCCCACACCTCCTAGTCAGTACCTCTTGAGACAATTAGTTCTATTAGTTTAAACCTTTTTGTGTCCCTTTGGTTGGACAGGCTTCCTGGACACACTCATAACTGATCTACAGGTTCCCATGATTATACCTTTGGCAACCTCCAATAGGTATTGGGTTTATCTGAAAATCTACGGTAGTGTTACTCAAGATAGCTAAGAGCTAAGATCTTCAAGTATAGCTGGATTGGTGATAATGAATCTTTCCAGGAACTTTGGTGAAGGCAGGAGATGTTTCTTTTGGCTTTTTCTTGGAGATTAAAATAGTTTGTTTTTCTTGGAAAATATGAGGTAAACAAAATAATTATTCTCTGGGGTACTTGTCCTGAGGATTACAAATCCAGAAGTTTAGCAATATTTTTTAATCACCACCTCTCTCACACAGAGACCAAAGAGGCAGTCATTCTTTAAAACTACAGCATACATCAAAGTTAGTTCAGTAGTGCAGCACAGTTCAAAAATAAAAATTCCCCACCACTGTGACCAAAACCCAGCAATTGTTAATCTCTCAGGTTGTTGCCTGAGTAGCCAATAACATTAGCCATAATAATAGCAAGGTGTTGTCTCTGTTGCTTACCCAGACAATCTGGAACTGTGCAGAAAGTCTCAAAAATAAGCCTCTACTTGAATTGGCAAAATGAAAACTTCCATGCAAAAGCCTTGCTTGGGACAGGTTATTTTCAGAGCTTTTAGTGCTTGTCCTAGCCAGCACATACTATTCTATACAAAACTCTATTCCACAGAGATCTATCCTATGTAAGCCACTGTCAGAGTAATACATATGGAGGGGAGGGTTTGTAAGTAGTCATAGTTCAGAAGCTCTACCCTACCCTCAAGTATGGAATTTACATTTCCCCACATAGTACTGTTGTGCAAATTTCCCAAGGGTCAGAAAGTAGAGCATCACACTTACGAAATTTCATAGGACAACAACCTAGTTGTTATTCAACGTACTTAAGCTCTCTTTAAAAAAAAAAAAAAAAGTGTGTGTGTATAGCTTTTTCTCAAAAAATTAATCTTAGTCAGAAGTATTCTGCTTGGTTGTGGGTATAACTGCTTCAAGCTATAACTCACCTTGAGCAAACAAGATCATTCTCTTCAAGTAGATCATACTGTTTTAACCAAACCTAATATGACTAGAAGTAAGATCCCTTTTGTATTTATACAACTCTTTGTAGTATAGAGAACATAAATGTTGTAATACAAAAGTAAAACTGAAGTCTGTTTCATTGTCCAAACTGAGTGAATACCAAAGCAAATGAAGAGTATAAATAGTGAAAAGCAAATTAGATTTTAAGATTTGTGTTTCATAATGTAAGGTTAATGCAAACAATGAATCTATTTTAATATAATTTTACAATTTGTTCTTACTGTCTCTTGAAAAAACAAGATCCAACACTTGTTCTGCTGCTCACCCTTCCACTCATTCTTCTCCAATTTCAACTCTTCTGTTTCATACATCATTTTCCACCTAATCATATGCCAGTACAGAGCATACTGTTGGTGCTCAACAAATGATTAATAAACACACTGCTGCCTTTTTGTTGCTATTATGCTGTGGTTTACTTATTCTCAAAATTTTACAGTTAAAACTTAAAAGTATGTAATCTGTACAAATTACAGAAACATACCGTCTCAAATTAACCAGAGGGTGTTTTTAAAATATAGTTTAAAAATAAAGTTAGTCCCCACTGTGGCTGTGAGGATTAATTCTTCCCAAATACTATGAAGTTTGTGGTGTAGAGACGAGAGGAGAAAGAGAACTTATTTCAGTGCCTTAGCAGGAGCCATCCTCAAGTTAACTTTGTAATCGGTTATGCAGCTCCATAAATATACACAGCACATTGTGTATAGTGTAAAGTTAGTGCCAAAAAGATAAGATTCCTGCCTCCAAGGACTTATTTTCTCAGTTCGTTCAGCCAAGGATTTATTGCCTCCTTAAATTTAATCTTCTAAATAACATTATTTTGTTGTAGAGAAACTTTGGCTTAATTTTATTATACATTATAGTTAATAATGACTATATATTGGTGTGAATAATAAAGACATATACTTAAAATGCTGAATAATACACATCCCAGCATAAGTTTTTTTTACTCTGTTATACTGTGTTTGGTATCATAGTACATATTCTCTGGACCACAAAAAAGATGGAATATCTTTGATGCTTCTGAAATGCTGTGCTTAGTCAAGATACTGCGCAAACCTTAATTCTCAAAATATTCCTTTGTGGTAGGGAGAGGTTCATGGACTTGTTTGAACCTACACAGTGAGTCAGTAAGAGAGCCAAGATTAGAAGTGAGGACTCCGTCTCACAGTCCTATGTTTAAGTACACTAGACCAGGGGTAGTCAATAACTGGACCGCAGGCCAAATCTGGACCACAGGCCAAATTTAGACCACAAGCCAAATCTGGACTGCCAGGCACTTTTGAATGGACCCCAAATCTTTTTATTTGCTTACTCTCATTGTTATTTTTTATTATTGTCTCTAACATCTGGACCTTGACTGTACATTGACCAAGAAATTTGGACCTTGCCAAAAAATAACTGACTACCCCTGCATTAGACCACGTTGCCTTTAATTTAAAGACCTAATTTTGTTGCGGCGTATACTAGAGGCTGCTCTTGTATAGTCTTGATCTAACCTACCTGAATGTTGTTAGAGAGGGTGTTCTGTAGGGCTCCATATTGTCATCCCTCTTGTTTAATGTGTACATGAGACCTTTGGAAAAGTTAGTGAGGTGGGATGGGTTGCATTGTTTTCAGTCTGCTGATTCCCTGCAGCTTTATAACTCCATCTCCAGTGACCCACCTGGAGCTGTTGGTTTGCATTACTTATTGTCTGGAGATTGAGCATAGAGGACGGCTAGTTGGCTGAGATTTGATCCAGAAAAGACTGAAGTGGTATAGGTTGAAGTAAGTCACCTGAGGCCATAGTGTGTGGGTGCTGTTTCTTCTCCTTTGAGGATGTGCACTGCCTTTGGTTAGCTCCTGGCTGCTATTTGAAGATCCGGTAACAGCTACAGCCAAGATGGCCTTTTTCAATTTGCAGATGATTAGGAAATTGCATCTGTTTCTTGGGCCTAGCAACAGTCATCCATGCTTTTGTCGCCTTGAGATAAGACTACTGTAATGTAATAAGACTACTACATGGGGCTACAACTTAATCTATTCAGAAACTGCAGCTGGTGCAGAATTTGATGTCCTGCTTATTAAACAGTATTTCTCTTTGTGAGCACATATAACCTATGCTCTACAAAATGCACCAGCTATCTGTTGGTTTCCAAATGGATTGTAGATGTTGATTTGATCTATAATGTCCTACGTTGCATAAGATCTACCTATCTAAGAAATTGTTTCTATCCCAGTGAGGCCCTGGGACAAGTGCAGTCAGTGGAGTTGCCTGCACTGAAGCTCCATTACTATAAGAGGTGAGGGTGGCTGGCAGGGCACTCTCTTTAGGTCCACAGATGTTTGGAATCCCTTTCTCCTCAGGTTCATAACATCCAGAGTCAAAAGCCTTCATGGCATTTGGCAATCATGGCATTCGTCAAGGCCCACCCCTTGCATATGAAAGTTGGGTAAGGCTGGTTGTGGTGTTGTAGCACTCAGGGGGTTGATTAATTTCTATTATATTTATACTGTTGCTGGGTTTATTTTTAAACATTGGTTGTGGGTGCCAGTGCCTTTGCTTGGCACATTTTTTATAGTTTATTTTAAAAAAATTCAGTCTGCGTAATAAAGATTCTTCTTCGAGTGCTTGTTCATGTCGATTCCAATCAGGTGTGCGCGCGCCATGTGCACGATCATTGGAAACTTTTCCCTTAGCAGCTCCCATCAGGTCTGCTAAGGAGCCCCCTGGAGTGGCACCTCTTTTAACTCTTGGGACACTACGTCCAAGTACAAAGAAATGCTCCCTGCAGAGTCAAGAGTGGAGTTCTCAGCTCTGGTCGAGGAGGGGAAGGCAGTGGCCAGGACATCCCTTCAGCCTCCCTTGATGCGGCTGCGTCAGAGGCATGAACCATCTCCTCGGGGATGGTCAGGAGGAGAACCTCCTGGCTCCAGGCTTCAGGTCCCCCCCCAGAGGTCCAACAGACCCTGCAGGACCTTCCCTTTGAGGGTGCAGGGCTGTTTTCAGACCAGACAGACCCGAGGCTCCATAGCCTCAAAGATTCAAGGGCAACAATGAAATCTCTAGGGATGCATATGCCTGCTAATCAGAGAAAACCTTTCAAGTCTCAACCCCAGCAACAGCAGAGGCAATATCAACCCCACCCAAGGCAGGACCCTTACCGCCGTAGGGGCAGGAACAATAGGTATAGGCCTCTTAACCAGTCGTCATGCCAGGACCGGGTCCAACTAAGCCGTAGTCAGGATCCAAACAAGGATTTTAATGGGGCGCCTGAAGACAGCGTGCCTGACTCCATACCGGATCCTTCCCCCTGCTTTCTGAACCTTCTATCCCACTTCTACTGTGCGTGTCCCTTATAACATCGGACCGTTGGGTCCTTCACGGAGGGATATTTTCTCCAATTCTGCTCCTCCCATCCCTCCCACCCCCCTTCCCCGTCTCTTTTCAGGGACCCTTCTCATGATCAACTCCTTGTCCAGGAGGTGCATTGCTCCTCGCCTTAGGGGAAGTGGAAGAAGTTCCTCAGGAGCTAAAGGGCAAGGGGTTCTACTCCCATTACTTCCTAATCCCCAAAGCAAAGGGGGAGTCTCAGGCCCATCTTAGACCTGTGAGGATTCAACCAGTATATGGTAAAGTTGAAGTTCCACATGGTCTCCCTGAGCGCAATCATTCCCTCCCTGGATCGGGGGGACTGGTATGCTGCTCTCGACATGAAAGATGCATACTTCCACATAGCCATTCGTCTAGCCCACAGACATTTCCTGAGGTTTGTGGTCGATCACAAACACTACCAGTTCACGGTACTCCCATTCGGTTTATCGATGGCCCCCCAGGTGTTCACCAAGTGCATGTCGGTGGTCGCGACCTTTCTCCGCAAGAGGCAGGTACAAGTATATCCCTACCTCGACGACTGGCTGCTACGGGGGTGTTCGAGGGAGCAGGTGGAACCCAAGTCCAGTTAGTCACAAATACCTTCCAAAGACTGGGTCTCCTCCTCAACGTGGACACATCGACGTTGTCACCGACCCAAATAATAGAATTCATTGGGACGGTACTAGACTTGGTTCAGGTGAGAGCGATACTGACGGGGTCCAGATTCCAAGCACTAACAGAAATCATTCAGACTCTCCAGTGATACCCCACCACGACTGCAAGGGTATGCCTGAGTCTCCTTGGACACATGGCAGTATGCATCTTTGTGGTCAGACATGCCAGACTGAGACTCAGGCCACTCCAGCTTGGTTCGCCTCAATTTATCACCCAGGCCAACACAGTTTGGACTCGGTAGTAACAGTGCTGGGACGAGTCCTAGACACCCTATGCTGGTGGCTGGACCCTCACATGATATGCAAGGGAGACCCATTCAGCGCTCCTCAGCCATCCGTGACCTTGATAACGGATGCATCAGATCTGGGTTGGGGGGCCCACCGAGATCTACAGATGCAGGGCAGGTGGTCGCAGTCTGAGATCCCGCTCCACGTCAATATAAAGGAGCTCAGAGCGGTGAGACTAGCCTGCCAGACCTTCAAGGACAGATTTCAAGGTCAGTGCATGGTGGTGTTGACCGACAATACCACCGCCATGTTTTACATAAACAAACAGGGCGGAGCCTGCTCCTCCCCTCTCTATCAGGAAGCTCTTCAGCTTTGGGATTTCTGTATAGCCCACTCTATTCACCTGGAGGTGTCCTATCGCCCAGGCCTGGAAAACGAGATTATAGACCATCTCAGTAGGTTGTTTCTCAACCACGAGTGGTCAGTCCATCTGGATGTCTTACATTCCATCTTCCAAAGTTGGGGCTTTCCCCAGGTAGACCTATTCACCACCAGGAGCAACAGGAAGTGTCCAATGTTGTGCTCCTTCCAGAAACACAGTCCGGGCTCCATCTCGGACACGTTCCTGCTACCTTGGGGGAACAACCTCACATATGCCTTCCTGCTGGTCCCACTCATCCACAAGGTGCTGCTCAAGATCCGCAGAAACAGAGCAGATGTGATCATGCTGGCCCCAGCGTGGCCACGACAACATTGGTACTCCATGCTTCTGGAGATGTCGGTGGACACCCCGATAGCAGTACCACTTTACCCAGATCTGATCACACAGGACCATGTTCACCGCCTTCACCCAGACCTCCAATCCCTTCATCTTATAGCTTGGAAGCTTCACGGTTAAACCCAACAGAGCTCCAATGCTTGGATTCGGTGAAGGAGATGTTGCTTGCTAGCAGGAAACATTCCACCAGGGCCACTTATCTAGCTAAGTGGAAAAGGTTCTCGTGCTGTTGTGAGCAGTGTTGCACACCTCCACTTCAGACATCTATACCACTCATCCTGGAATACCTACTACATCTGAAACAGCAAGGGTTGGCAGGATCATCTATCAGGGTATACCTTGCGGCCATCTCAGCGTTTCACCCTGGAGAGTCAGGGTGCTTTGTATTCACCAACTCCATGATAGGCCGTTTCCTAAAGGGTTTGGAAAGGCTATACCCACATTTTCAACCACCTGTACTCGCTTGGGATCTCAATCTGGTCCTCTCCAGACTAATGGGAGTCCCGTTTGAACCACTGGCTACATGCTCCCTTCTGTATCTCTCGTGGAAGGTAGCGTTCCTAGTTGCTATCACTTCAGCCAGAAGGGTGTCTGAGTTAAAAGCACTAACCTCCGAACCCACCTTCCTCCCTCCCCCCCCGGTCTTCCATAAGGACAAGGTACAGCTCAGGCCTCACCCAGCCTTCCTGTCCAAGGTGGTATCTCAATTCCACATTGGACAAGACATTTTTCTACCAGTCTTCTATCCCAAGCCGCATGTGAATGCGCAGGAGCAGAGTCTTCATTTGCTAGACGTCCGGAGAATGCTAGTGTTCTACATTGAGTGCATGAAACCTTTCAGGAAATCGAACCAACTGTTCATAGCGGTGGCAGACTGGATGAAAGGACTTCCGGTCTTCTCACAGCGCATTTCATCATGGACCATGGACTGCATCCGTACTTGCCACGCCCTCGCCAAGGTTCCAGCTTCGCCTATTATAGCGCACTCGACGAGGGCTCAAGCCTCATCCACTGCTTTCCTGGCCCAGGTGCCCATCCAGGAGATCTCCAGAGCGGTGACCTGATCATCCGTGCACATATTTACTACCCACTATGCCATCACACAGCATGCCAGAGAGGATGCAGCTTTTGGCAGGGCAGTTCTCCAATCAGTGGTTCCTTAACTCCAACCCCACCTCCAGGGGAGAGCTTGGGAATCACCTGACTGGAATCGATGTGAACAAGCACTCGAAGAAGAAAAAATGGTTACTCACCTTCTTGTAACTGTTGTTCTTCGAGATGTGTTGTTCACATCCATTCCAATACCCACCCTCCTTCCCCTCTGTCAGAGTAGCCGGTAAGAAGGAACTGAAGGGGGGTCGGGTTGGCAGGGTCATATATTGAGTGCCATGAAAGCACCACTCCAGGGGGCTCCCTAGCCGAACCAACAGGAGCTGCTAAGGGAAAAGTTTCCGACGACTGTGCATGCAGCACGCGCGCACCTGATTGGAATGGATGTGAACAACACATCTTGAAGAACAACAGTTACCTGAAGGTGAGTAACCGTTTATTCCTCACTAAAGGCCCCTAACACTTGTATAGAGGAGCAGATTTCCTCTCCTGAACATTTGCAAGATTGGCCCCTAAAGGTGAAATCCTGAGAGTTGCTCAGCACCCTCAACTCCCACTGAAGTTAATTGGAATTAAGGGTGGTAAGCACCTTGCTTGGTTAGGCTCTAAATACTTTCTAAAAGTGTTATAAAAACAATATATATTTTTTTAATGTTTACCTCTTTCTTATCTTTTTGTAGGTGGTTTGTCCAGATTGTAGTGATGATATTGCAGTGAAAAAGGACAATGTTCTAGTTCGTTCTTTCAAGGATGGTAAATTGTGAGTAGAAACATAGAAGCTACCAATTAAATATGTGCATCGTCTAAAGTGTGTGAGGAAGTAAGGGGTGTAGCAAAGAAACTGCTTTTAGCCGATCAATTATTGCAGCAGCTTTACTCAAGGTTTAGAAAGATATGAAAATGAACCATGTTGATGACAGTTCTATACTTATTACCTACAGGAAATATAAATCCACCCTTATAATTATCATCCCAAACTATATATTTGGTATAGCAGGCAAGGACTGCACTCCTGTGGGAGTTTGTGGGACAACTTGAGATTCTTGCTGTTTTGTTTAGAAGAGATAGCCATGCCTCAGAGAAGATTTTATAGGTCTACAGATATTGTAAAGGAAGGGAAAGAAGAGAATTTCTCAGTAGCCCGTTTCTTCATTAAGTCAGTAAGATTTGTTTACCAGTATCATAGGGGTCTAGGGCAGAATTACCATTTCATCTGATTAAGAAAGAGCTCTAATATTGATTAGCAGAAGAGAAGAGTATAAATAAAAAATAGAAAATGAGTGCTGGCTCATGAAGGAAATATGTGCTCTTAAATGCTTGTGAGGAAAGGTGGGGCTTTGGCAACAGCAATGGAATAATTTTTTTCTTTTATGACAGATTCCATTTTTTATTCAAAAACGGTGGGTCCCCTCTGAGCTAATTTATGCCACTTGATTAAGTGTGGCAGAACTCCTTTGCATTTTGCAGAAAGGATGTTGAAATATAGAACAGTTTCATTATAGTTTAGTTTTAGTTTCCTTCTTAACTTTAGAACAGTGGTGCACAAACTTTTCCAGTCACACCTCCCTTTACCATTTACGGAATCTGTCTGAAGCCCCACGTTCATTACTGCATGGCCAAGGCTAGTGCCGGTGTTAGGCATACGCAGAGTAAGCAATTACTTAGGGTCCCGAACAGCTCAAGGGGGGCCCCTATATGCTTTTTATTATTTTAAGGCTCCAGTCAGTTATGGAGGTCACAGATTTCATGATTTTATGTGACCTCTTCACCTCAGTCTGCATAGTGGGGCATCAGCTTTAGCCCCAGCTGGCAAGGCTTCAACTTCAGAAAATATATCTACTTAAGGCCTACAATGGGCTAGCACTGCTTCTGGGCTGGGTGGCCCTCTGAGGTGTCAGTGGGTGGAAGTGGCGCTCCCTCCCCGCACCATCTGGGGGGCCCTGGCACGAGCCACCTGGCATCGCTGGTTGCTCCCCTTTCCCCCTGAACATTCCTCCATGCCCCACAGTTTGCGCACCACTGGTCTAGAATATGATTTCAGCAAATTGCTTGACAGTAAGTAATTCACAGACCTGTGCAGGTCAGTAGAGGAATCCACCTAGCACCAAGGAACCCCAGTTCAGATTGGGATCTCTGGATATGACTACAATACCTATTACTAATATTTTCTGTTTGTATAATTCTGAAATCTTTTTCACACTGATAATATTTTTTGTTAATTATATCAATAATGGTGTGAAGTTTTTGGTGACTTTTTAAATTAACATTATGCCTTTTCTGAAATCTCCCAAAATATTACTATTGATTATTGTGACACCAGCTATTAAGAGAATGCTTTCCTGAATGTGCTAATGAATGGATGCTCATGATTAAGGCTACGATTTAGTCATGGGTATTTTTAGTAAAAGTCTTGGACAGGTCACGGGCAGTAAACAAAAATGTATGGCCCGTGACCTGTCCATGACTTATACTATAAATACCTCTGTCCAAACCTTGGGGAGATGGGGGGGGGTGGACAGCGGCACCAGCTGCTGCGGACCACTGCCAGAGCAGCTGCTGCTCTGGCTGCCACAGGGACCACTGCTCCGGCAGTCCCTAGAACCAGCTGCCCGAGCAGTGTCTGGTGCGGCTGGCTGCGGGGCCACCTGAGCGCCTGGCTGCAGAGCCGCTCCAGCAGTGGATGATGTGGCTGTCCCCGGGGCCACCTGAGCAGCTGACCCCAGAGCCATCTGCTTGGGCAGCCCTGGGGTCAGCCACACTGGCTGCTGCAGAAATCACGGAGGTCACAGATTCCTGTAGTCACAGAATCCATAACTTCTGCAACCTCCATGACAGACATGGAGCCCTACTCATAGTCCACCCAAATTTTTAAGGCAGTTGGATTTTTTCAGCTCAATTTTTTTAATACTGTACAAAACTGTAATAGTGGAAAAGGGTATATTTTAATTAACTGTCGGCAATATTTAACTTGCTGAAGAAGGTATTGTCATATTGAAATAAACTTGCATGATAACTGGTGATTTATTGATGCCATTGTCCAGATACATTTCATATGCTCTTTCTACACATTTAATAGCTCTATGTATTGTTTGATATTATCCCTTTATAACAGGGACTATCAAACTTTTTTTTTCTGGGCCCCCCCCCTTTGAAAATATTTCAAGCTGTGATGACCCACCCGCCACTTTGTTACCGGACATAGCTTTCGTGGCATCAATGCACATCCCTACAGAGCTAAGTAACCATACCATGCCACCCTTACTTCTGTGCTGCTGCTGGCAGCATCTGTGCCTTCAGAGCTGAGCAGCCAGCTAGTAGCTGCAGCTCTCCAGCTGCCCACCTCTGAAGACAGTGCCACCAGCAGCAGCGCAGAAGTAAGGGTGGCAATACCATTCCACCCTTACTTCTGCGCTGCTGCAGAGTGGTGGCACTGTCTTCAGAGGTAGGTGCTCGGGCAGCAGCTGCTGCTGTCCGACCACCCAGCTCTGAAGGCAAGGAAAAAGGATGAGTCAGGAAAAATCACTGACGTTTGTTTGTATTTCAAAAATCCGCCTGGACAGAGATCGGAGGACCAAAAAAGAGGTCATGTCCAGGAAAATCTGACATATGGTAACTCTTGATCTCACGACCCCGCTACAATAGCCTTGTGACCGCCTTTGGGTCAGGATCCCCAGTTTGAGAAATGCTGGCTTTTAAAAATATGTGATTTTTAAAAAGTATACTTCAAATAATTGTTGCCTTGTCAACACTCTTTTAAATTCTCTAGTGCTTCTGTACCAAGAAAAGATGTTCGAGAAATTAGTGAAACTTCACCAAAGCCTGATGCTTTGTTAAAACAAGGTAAGAATTACCTTTAAATACAAAAAGAGCAATTTTTTTCTTGTTTAATTACAATTAGCTAGTGGTATATGTCGCACCAAATATATAAGAAAGCATGTTTTTGCATTCTGTAAAATTACAGAAATATGGCTTCCCTGTGATGTTGTCTACAGACGTTTAAAAATGAAAAATTTCAATAAGTCATCAAGCACAATCTTTAAAAGCATTAAAACTATAATGCATTGATTAGAAATGCTGGAACAACAAACAAAAGGAGTAGTAATGTAGTGGAAACCAACTTCATGGATTTTGCCTGAAATCCAGTCCCCTGTGTTGGGCCTTCATAAAGTTGTTTGCATCATAGTGCACACATGATAGCCTTGAAAGGGTTGCCTCCATACCTTCTACATGCTGGAGTGGTGGGCTCTTTGGCAGGCTACCTGGTGTGCTCAACTAATCTTTGCAAAATAAATGCTTATATTATTGTTACCTCAATCCTCTTTATTCCCCATTCCTACCCTTCTATTTATTCACCAGTTGTGTCTTGTCATTAATTTGAACCCTAAATTCTTTAGGACAGGGATGCCTCTTAATTATGTGTTTGTACATGGCCTAGCACAGTGGGTTGGTACCTTTAGGCATCACTTCAGCATAAATAATAACTGCAAATAGCTTGGAGTGCCTGATGCAGAGACTAATGGGTATGCATGGCTGAGCACCTCTGCATAAGGATGCAGATAAGGAGTGGCTGTGGAACAACACTGCTAAAGTCCTATGATTTGGGGATGGATTCTCACCCTTTTTGTTTTGTTTTGTTTTGTTTTTGAGCAAATTGATCCTTCTTCTAATGCTAATAAATGCTGGTCTTCTTGCAGCCTTTGACCAAGCCCTTGAATTCCGTAAAAGCAGAACTGTTCCCAGTACCTGGAAGACTGAGTTGAAAGAGGAGAGCTCCAGCAGTGAAGCTGAAGAAGAGGAAGAAGATGAAAAAGAAAAGGAAGATAACAGCAGTGAAGAAGAGGCAAGTATAACATTGCAAACTGTGTCTATTCTCATCAGCTGTATATTGGCACTCTGCTTAGAACTCATCAGCACAGATTTTCATGCTCCTTGTATCTTTAACACACATGCCTTTCTCAGATCAAATTCTTATTTGTAAAACCTCCCTGTGGAAACAAAATTAACAACTGTGAATGAACTCAGGAAGCTACCTCTTCTCACACACAGTCAAAGGACTGAATCAATAGGAGTTAAAGATAGGTGCAGGGCCAGTGTAACCACTAGGCGAACTAGGCGGCTGCTTAGGGCGCCAAGATTTGGGGGCGCAAAAAAGTGGTGTCCGGCGTCACGGGAGTCAGCTGAGCGGGGCAGAGCAGGGAGCGAGGCCTCCATAACAAACCCACCCCTGCAGTGAGGGGCGCCGCGCAGGGCGGTCAGTGGGAGCCTGCGGCGGAGCAAGGAGGAGACAGCGGCCGGGCGCGGCGACCAGCGCGGCCAAGGGACGGAGCCGTTGGGGGAGGCAGGACACGGTCCTGAGCTCAGGTGAGCTTCGCCCTCCAACGCGCCACGCCTGGGGCCGGGCACAGCCACCTCCTGGGACGAGGGAAAGTGAAACTAAACCCCGCAGCGCAACGGAGGGGAAAGGGCTGGCGCAGGTGCCGCTTCCAAATACTGACACACACACACACACCCCGGTGGCATGTTCCAATGCACAGAGCCGGCCCTGATCCCCAGGGAGATTCTCACCTGCTCCCTGGGAGAGACCGGCTCTGCCCTCCTTGCCCCAGAGTCCCCCCCGGAGGGCGAAGTACTCAGAGCCTGGGAACGTTTAGAGACCTTGTTAGCTGGGGGGCATTCTCAGCCTCCTCCTTGCTCATAGGTTCCCCCGGGCCAGAAGAGATCATTGTGATCATCTCTTCTGACCGCCTTGTATTAATTCTAATGAACAATGCCACATTATGCAGTATTCATTTTTGAAAGTTTATAATAAGCGATGCTCCGGGGGGAGGCGAGGAGGAGGGGGGGGCGCAAGGTGGAAGTTTCGCCTAGGGCGCAAAATATCCTTGCACTGGCCCTGGATAGCTGAAAGACCAAATCCAAAGATCAAGCCTAGATTAAGATATAGCTCTCACTGCACCTGAAGCAGCAATATGTAAGGGCCAAAAGCTATGTTGTTGGAATAGGGCAGGATGGTGCAAGGGTGAGATGGGAATGAGAGACGTGCTGCCAAGTGTATCTTACTGTTACTCGAAAAAAGAACAGAACATACCCCTGACTAATATACATTCCTGACTACAGCATGCCTGCAAGCTAATTGTAGAGACTGAATGTCACCTAGCTGTGGTTAAAATATATATATTTATTGTAACTATATTTATTGCAACAAAAATTATTAGGGGAATGGCTTTCATATGAGGAGCGATTAATAAGACTGGGACTTTTCAGCTTGGAAAAGAGATAACTGGGAGGGATATGAAAGAAGTCTATAAAATTATGACTGGTGTGGAAAAAGTAAATAAGGAAGTGTTATTTACTCCTTCTCATAACACAAGACCTAGGGGTCACCAAATGAAATTAATAGGCAGCAGGTTTAAAACAAACAAAAGGATGTATTTTTTCATGCAACGGAAAGACAACCTGTGGAACTCCTTGCCAGAGGATGTTGTGGAGGCCAAGACTATAACAGGTTTCAAAAAAGAACTAGATGAATTCATGAGGATAGGTCCATCAATGGCTATTAGCCAACATGGGCAGGGATGGTGTCCTTAGCCTCTGTTTGCCAGAAGCTAGGAATGGGTGACGGGATGGATCACTTGATGATTACCTGTTCTGTTCATTCCCTCTGGGGCACCTCACATTGGCCAGTTTCGGAAAACAGGATACTGGGCTAGATGGACCTTTGGTCTGACTCCAGTATGGCCATTCTTATGTTCTTACCTGACTTTCTGCTATCAACTGCCCCAAGCCTGAGTTCCACTAGTTTGTGGTGGTGAAACGTGAGGGATGAATTTGTCCTAATACTTTTTTAATCTTTCAAACAATTACAAAAAATATCTAAGTTGTTGTATCTCTCCTCTTTCCTCTCCTGTGATAGAATTGGTTCACTAGACGTTATCTCTCTGCCTACCCTGACAAAAAGAAGCAGAAGAACTTTCAGGCAAGGCGCCAGCCCACCCACTCCTTTTCCACCTCTGTCTTTTCTCCTTTGTTTTGGAACTATGGAGTGCAGTCCTGTGCCTGTCTTCTAATTAACTGTTATTTTTCCCCCCAGTCTCCAGTCCAGAAATAAAGAAGACAAGAGAAAAGATGAAAGTCAGAGGAAAGAACTCTGCTTTACAGCTGGCTATGAGGCTGTGTGTGTGGAGGGGGTCTGATTCCTTTATTTCCTCTGTACTTTCTCTTGGTGCTCAGATTCTGGCTCTGTCCAGAGCACCCCTCCTTTAGCCAGGGACTGGGAGCTGTTTCTCTTGACTCAGTTATTCATCTCTGCAATGATGACTGCAATGCAGCAGCCTAATTCTCCCATCCCTGGGTGGAGCTGTAGACACGAGGTTGAACTGTCTGGGTCCTAAACGACTACTGTACTCTGTGTCTCAACCCATCTTCCCTGGTTGGGGCTTTTCAGGAGGCTGCAGGTGTGTGAGGTTGGAATTCTGCCACCTCTCAGGCTCACTTAGTCCTCATATGGTCCTTTCAGGGTTTGCCAACTGCAAGAATATCTGTCTCTGTTCTTACCTACTCATGCTAGCAGAAAGTGTGATGCTCACTTCTCCTGGAATGGCCACTTGGGAGGCCATGGGTGAGGAGAATCTGAGCTCTTAAGTACTTCTGTTTTTAAGGGCTTGGCCTTTAGAGCCTTTGCCTTTGGGAGGTAGCTACAGCTCCTTTTGTGAGCCTTGCCTTCTTTGGTGTAGCTGCTGTTCCTTCCCCAGGCAAGCTCTCTAAATGCCTTGGTGTACAAGCCTGGCTCTTGACACCTTCAAATCTAATCGGATTTGCTGTGGTAGTTCTGAAATTGCTTCTCTAGTGTCTCCGGCATCCACTGGGCTGGAGGTTTACAAAGTAATGGCTAGAGCTTCACTTTCTTTTTTTGAGTGGCAGCAATATGATCCTGCCCTGTTTTTCTCCTGTCTCCTCTTTCCATTTCAGTTGTTATGCTCTGTGAGTTCCCTGCATGGGAGGCCTTTCTCCTCAGACAAAATATATGAGAGAGCACTCTTGGAACTAAACAATCGTTCCCCTCCAGATTGCTCTAGCTCATCCCGGGCCATGAAGAATTTCATTGGTTCCCTTTTTACTACTCACATGGCCTCTCTAGCTGTGCAGTTCAAGTCATGGGTAGGAACAGTTCTTTTATTTCCATCATCTTCATTTCACACTTAGATACCATGGTGATAGGTGCCATAGAAATCTGAGAGATTAGATTCTTTCCTGCTCTCTTTTTTTTTTTAAGGCTGGTTTCTGTCCAGTGTCCCCCTCCAAATGGAGCTCTGCCTCCCAGTCTCTTCTCCTTTACTAGTATGATGGGAATAGGAGAACTAGATCTAGCTTCAGCCAAATATGGAGGTGTGGACCTAGGTCCACTTTGAGTTATAATAAAATATATACAGAATGAGGGTTAGCAGTGAGCCGCTTGCGTCCTCAAGTTAGAAACAAGCTACTTTGCTGACTCCTTTAACCTTCATAATGCTGACAGGTACACTGGTATTCCCAGAATGAACACCGATGAGATTATCTAAAGTAGCAATAGGCTGCGATGGCAGAATATTGAAGGTTATAAGTCAGCATCTAACAATCTCCCAGGATGCCTTGGCATCAGACTACAGACAGTTTGGTTCTTCATGAGATTCTCAGAATAGCAGGGATCACCTTGCTAAAGTGTCTCACTTCAGTCCTCCTGCGAAATCCACTGGGTCTGTACACTCTGAGGATGTACAAAACACTCTTCTGTAGATCTTGGCATATCAAACCTTAATTCTGTCCCATTAGGATGTACAAACACTCTTCTGTAGATCTTGGCATATCAAACCTTAATTCTGTCCCATTGACACATTGTCCTAGAATCTAGCAGGGAATTTAATTACAACAAGGGATACCTACTTGCAGTTTTGGTACCTGGTGTAACAAGTATCTGCTCTGTGCTTTAGGAATAGTATCTTAGGGTATGTCTACACTTCAGTTAAACACCCACAGCTGGCCCGTGCGAACTGACTTGAGCTCATGGGGCTCAGACTAAGGAGCTGTTTAATTGTGGTGTAGATGTTCAGGCTGAGGTTGGAGCCTGGGCTCTAAGACCCCATGAAGTGGGAAGATTCCAGAGCTCGGGTGGAAGCCCGAACTCAAATGTCTACACTGCAATTTTAAACAGCCCTCTAGCCCAAGCCCCACAAGCCTGAGTCAGTTGGCAGTGTCAAATTGCAGTGTAAGATACCCATAGGGTCCACAAGGGATGGCAGCAGAACCCGCAGCACTCTGCTCAGTATCTACAGCACCTCTGGTTTTTGGCTCTCTTAGCACTTGAAGGAAATTGGATACGTGATACTTCTTGAAACCGTAGGTTTCCTGGGAACATCTGGTCAGTGCTTTCCTCCCTGACCTCTTATGGTTCTATGTGGTCACCCTCTCGTGACAAGCATTTTCTTGTTTGTGAGCCATTTGCCAAATCTAACTTTTTTCCTTCTCTTCTGACCCAGATTACTTCAGGGAAGGAAATCTCCTGAATTTCCACAATATCTGAGACTTTTGGTTTAGATAGAATACAGTCCTACTTCTCATTTTGCAAAATATCCCTGGTTGTTATTTTGTTCCTTTTTTTCACATGCAAGAGAAGGTATTTATTTCAGTCAGACCCAGCACATCTTGATGTCAAGAAGGATCTCTAGCTATGTCAGTGATCATATTAGTAGTTTGGTATGGGAATTTCTTTTCCCTCACTTTATACTAAAAATTCTTAATCTTTAGGCTGCTGTCAGCAACTTGGGCCGACCCTTCACCCACAGATCTGCTAAATTACTATATGGCCCTCTTTTACGCAAGTTTTTGTTATTAATGTTAAATGGAGAATATGCCAACACATTAGAAGTATGTTTTTCTCTTGACTTCTACTGTGTATCCAATTAGTGTATGATGAGGGGGAGGACACGTACAACAAGAGAAAACTTCTTACTGGTAATTCTGTTAATTGTAGCCTTTGCCAGTCCTACATTCATTCCTCCACCTGTTGAGGCTATTAAGTGAGAAGTTATCTTTTTTATTTATATCATATTCTTAGTAATTGTATTCAAATTTTGTAAGTTTCTCAGCTGAGGTCTGGTGCGTCTACACACGTCTTGATGAATAATACTTTTGTCTCCTTGCTTCTGGATTGGTGAAGTCATAATCCTTAGGGTAAGAAGTAGAATGGGAAAGATGAAGGTGATATAGCAACAAAGTAATTTTTCTTTATTTACAGAAATGATACATCAGTTATACTCACAAAGTCTGCTATGGGTCAGAATTAAAAGGAATACAAAGAATTGAAACGAACTCCTACTCTGCATGCCTCTTTGAAATATCTTAAACTTCATGATTAAAATTCCTAGAAGTTATGATTACACTAGAAATAAGATGATACTCATATGGGAGATATTAATTAATATCAGTTGAGGCACATGGTATTTCTGGGGATTTCCTAACCAGCTTGGGAGGAGCTGTTGGACTGAGCCACAGTGTCTTGCCATTGATCTCCGCTGATGGTTAATCTAGTGTAGAGGTTTATTACTGTCATAAATTTAATAGCCACAAATATTTTTGATGTACCTATTCTGGATTTGTTTGTTTCAAATTAATTCAGTGTATACCATGTACTCTGCTCCTCTGGCAATGTGCATGCAATGTCATTAACCTCAGCATGTTACTAGTGGCTTGTGGAACCGCTGAAGAAAAAAGTACAGGCACAATTTTATCTTCCGCTTCATCTTTGAAAGTGACTTAATCCATCCAGGCATTAAGAATAACCACATCTAATTATAGGACAAATGAATCTCAAAATTGTGTGTAATCTTTTGAGGAGCAATACTGGTGTCTACCAGACTCTGTTTTCTGCCTAATTTAACACAATTGAGAGCTTGTGTTGATTTATAAGTATTCTTATGACATTTTGATGATAATCTATTGAAAACCCCTAAAGACCAAACCATATATTTTTTACAGTTTTTATTAGCTGGAAATAGCCTTTCCTGTTTCCAAATCGCTTAACATTCAGAGACCATATGCCCTCTGTATAGCATGCCGTCAGTGTCATTAAATTTTACAGTAAATCAAACTTTTTAATGTAAACTTAATTTGCTACAATAGTTTTCCAAATTAACGTCTGGTAGTTAGAAGTGCTTAACAAGACAAGTGATAAATTTTATTTTCTTGTATTACTTATATTAGGAAGAAATAGAGCCTTTTCCAGAGGAAAGGGAGAATTTTCTACAACAGTTATACAAATTTATGGAAGACAGAGGTGGGTGTTTTATCTTCAATTATGTAATGTATATTGAAGCTTTGAGCTATGACCCACTATTGCTTTGCAATTCATTTTTGGGAACCAGTGTGGCCATATCCATCTCTTGCTGTGATCTGGGAGATTGTAGTCTGTCACTTGACCCTCTTTGTCTTCTCAGCATTCATGAATGCTAAAATGCAGACATATCCCTGCTTTGAAAAATAAGTGGATATGCTCCCTGTATATCATACACTATATCCCTGTGTTGTATATAGCTGTGCATTTAATGCCTAGTTTTGTTCTTAATTTTATTACTGCATACATTCCATTTCATAATTTTAATAAGATGCCTCAATAAATCTATTTTAGAACGACAAATATCATTTGGATGGTTCAATTCATTCTGGTTTTAGCTCGTGCCTTGTAATACCACCTGAATGTTTGTGGTGTTGATAAGGGAAACTGAAATGCCTTTAAAAACATATCCCTTTAATATGTCAAATCCTTAACAGATATATAGGAAGAGATTACAAATAAATATGCTTTCAGAAATCAAATAGTTTCTCTCTTAATTGTGTGGTAAGACTTGCGTTCAGAGGCCTCTGTTTCACCTACACACACACACACACACATGAATTGTGATATCTTTAGTGGATTGAGATAAAAGTGAGCTTTTAAATAAAGCTGTATAGTTTGATTATGGTTTTTATTATCTTATTGTTAAGGGCCTATCAAATTCATGGCCATGAAAAACGTGTCACGGACTGTGAAATCTGGTCTCCCCCTATGAAATCTGGTCTTTTGTGTGCTTTTACTCTATACTATACATATTTCACGGGGGGCAGACCAGTGTTTCTCAAATTGGGGATCCTGAACCAAAAGGGAGTTGCGGGGGGGGGGTCACAAGGTTATTTTAGGGGGGTTCCGGTATTGCCACCCTTACTTCTGCGCTGACTTCAGAGCTGGGTGACAAGAGAGCACTGGCTGCAGGCCGGAAGCCCCCCTCTGAATGCAGAGCCGCCACCAGCAGCAGCACAGAAATATGGATGGCATGGTATGGTATTGCCACTCTTACTTTTGCACTGCTGCCTTCAGAGCTGGGCAGCCGGACAGTGGCGGACGCTGACTGAGAGCCCAGCTCTGAGGGCAGCAGCGCAAAAGTAAGAGTGGCAATACCATACCATGCCATCCTTACTTCTGTGCTGCTGCTGGTGGCGGCTTTGCATTCAGAGCTGGACTCCTGGCCTGTAGCCGCCACTCTCCAGCTGCCCACCTCTGAAGGCAGAGCCGCTGCCAACAGCAATGCAGAAGTAAGAGTAGCAGTACCGCAACCTCCCTACAATAACCTTGCAAACCCTCCCCCCCCCAATTCCTTTTTGGGTCAGGACCCCTACAATTACAATACCATGAAATTTCAGATTTAAATAGCTGAAATCATGAAATTTGTGATTTTTAAAATCCTATGACCGTGAAATTGACCAAAATGGGCCGTGAATTTGGTAGGGCCAGACTTATTGTATAAATAGAAAAATAAATAAAGACTGTACTATGAACATGATATGGTCAGAATCAAAGAGCTTGCAGCAATATATTTAGTAACGTGAAATAATTTAGGTATAAATTTCTGGTCTTGTGCTCAGTAAAAGGACACATTTCAAAATATTTTAATAATTGTATTCTTCCACAGGGACTCCTATTAATAAACGACCTGTACTTGGATACAGAAATTTGAATCTCTTTAAATTATTCAGACTTGTACACAAGCTTGGAGGATTTGATAATGTAAGTATTAAAGTTAAGATGGAAAGTATTTCAGACGCATAAAGTCTGAGGAAAAAAATATAGAAGATTAGATTTAAGTCATAGTAAATAAGACTCCTATACAAAAACTCTAGGAATCTGAAAAATTAATCCTGCAACATAATACACCCAGCAGCATTATTAAAAAAACAAACAGATTACATAATTAATTTATTTGTGATACATGCAGTAGATCTAACTATTGCTGTATAATAATGTAGTCAGTCAGAGTACTTCCTTTTTCTCTGAGGATTCAGTGAATACCTGTCTGAGAACCTTTGTTTTAGACACTGAGCAAATAGTAGAGACTTCTAAATCGCTGCACAAGACCTCAAATGCAAGCAATCTGAGTTAAGGTTTCTATGGCATCCTTAACTCCTCCCCACTGTGGATCATATATAGAAGACTGTGCTGGCTGGAATTAGCTGAACTGATCTTGAAGCAGCAATTGGATCACTTACTTGGAATTCCTGGGGAAGTAGACTCTATTCCTACTTTTGATGTCTTCCTATAAAATTAACTTATGGATTGGTCATGTATATTCATATAGTAAAATGCAGTGTCATCTTTCTGATGCTAAGGGTCACATACTTAGAGAACAAGATGTGTTACAGTACCTTTTGAGGACTGTTGGAACTGAGCATACTAAACAGGTTACAAAACTTGAGCACATCAAGAGTATAAAAGGCAGTGGAAGAGCTGATAGAGGCAGTTTCTGGGGAACCTGGGTATTGCACCATTCAGGACGTTAAAAATTGCCACAAACGTTTGAACTGCCTTCTTTATTTTAAATTAAAACTCCAGCTTTGGTAAATAAGGTTACTATCAAAGTAAGTTTTTGTTATAACCCACTTGGCTGACTCCTGCAGTTTGAGACCGTGGCTTACTGAAATGCAAAATGACAGAAGTTCTAAACTGACGATAATAATTCTGTGCAGCAGAACAGTGATTTTTTTGTTGAATACATTCTTTTGTGAATCTGAAATTTTTTTAAAAAAATTGTTAGCATTCATCTATTGTTGCGAAGATAATAGACTTAAATTAGTCTTATGTTTTGTACTAGATTAATGTGCACATTTGTATTTTGCTGTGTGTAACAGATTGAAAGTGGAGCAGTATGGAAGCAGGTGTATCAAGATCTTGGAATACCTGTGTTGAACTCAGCTGCAGGATATAATGTTAAATGTGCTTACAAAAAGTAAGTGATACAGCACATGTAAAATGGATGAAATATGAACAGTGATACCATTGTGGGGTGTTTATGTATAGATTCCAATGGAAACACCTCTTTTATGAAAAATAGTTACTGTCAATTGCATATTGTTAATTATTTTGGAATTTTAAGAATCAGAAATGTAGGACTGGCAAGGACCTTGATAGGACATCTAGTCCAATCCCCTGCACTGAGTCGGGACTCCAGCCTTGTCTACACTACAAAGTTTTGTCGGCAAAAGTTATGCCGCTTTAATTAAAGCATTTTAATTAAAACCACTGTTGCATGTCCACACTAGCTCCTTGTGTCAGCAGAGCACATCCACACTAACAGCTCTTGCATTGACACAGAGAGCAGTGCACTATGGTGGCCATCCCACTGTGCAACTGGCTGCAGGGTGCTTTGGGAAGGGTTTGCAATGCCTCATGGGGCAGGTACAGCATCATATGATGAGGTTTCTCAATCCCATCCTACTAGATTGCCAGTTGCTTTTCAGCTGAAGTTTGGTGTGGGGGAAGGAGGGAAAGGAGAGTGGTGTGTCTGGGGTGGGGGAGACAGCAGGCTGACCGACCTATCCTGAGGCAGGGGGAGGGGGACATCCCCTCCACGTCAGCCTGCTCCGCATAACAGTCTCTCCCAAAGCAGCCTGCTCTGCCTGCCTATGGTTCTGTGATTCCCTCTGAGTTCTCCCAAAGCCTCGTCAGCTGCCGGGAGCAGCATCCTGAGAAGCTCTGTTTGCTCTCTGTGCTGAGGAACGTCAAAGCAGCATGGCAGTCCTGCCAGAGGCTGTATTCCTAGTGCAGGGCAGAACAGGAGCATTCCACATTAATGGTTAGTTCCCAATCCCAGAGCAGAGCAGCAGACCCAGCTGTCAGATTCTTCCCGGAGCTTTGAAAGGGAGGGGCGTATGCCTGCAGGACAGAAGAGATTAAAACAGAGAACAGAGCGGTCACAGCAGGCATTGTGAGATACTGGTGGAAGCCAGTTATGTCAACAAAACAAACAGCAGAATATCTACACTGACGCTTTGTCACTTGAACTTTGCCGCAAAAAGCTTTATGCCTCTCGTTGAAGTGGTTTTATTTTGTTGGCGAAACAGCAGAGTTTTGCTGCCAAAAGTAGCTTTGCAGTGTGTATACCCCCCTTGTTTTGTCTACAAAAGGCAGCTTTTGCTGACAAAACTTTGTAGTGTAGACAAGGCCTAAGTTGTTGTTCACCTCATGCTATACTTAGGATTGTATCTCTTCTGTAATGTATGTTGTTGTTCTCTGTTGTGTCAAACACAAGCTACTTGTCTTCACGACCTATCCATTCCCTATCTGTCATCTCTCATTTAGCATCAAAAGGTCAACTCCTACCTCTTATTGACCCCATGAGATCAGCCTCCTTTACCCACTTGTGACATTTTTCAAACCAGAGCCTTTGTGCATTCTACCATTCTGCCCCTCACGCTTGGAAGAAGATTCCTGTAAACATCTGCAAAACTAATTCACTATTCTTCTCTCCTTAAAATTCTCCTCTGCCATTAAGCCTATAAAAAACTTGACAATAGCTTGGCCACTAGCGTATCAAGACCGCTTCCTACCATGCTGACCAATACTGTCTCACTGTTTCCTTGTACTCCCTCTTTGATCTGTTTCTATCCATCTGGTGTCTCTTGTTTTACACTTAGATTGTAAGCTCTTTGGGGCAGGGACTGTCCTTTTGTTCTGTTTGTACAATGCCTAGGACAATGGAGTCCTGGTCCAGCATTGGGGCTCCTAGGCACTATGATAATACAAATAATAAAAAATAATAATAGATATAAAAACTTCTCCAGTGCCAGAGGAACTTAAATCTGTGGTTTTGGATGGGGGTTAGTTTGCCACAATATCTAAAATATGTATATATTTTGATGCATTTTTGCTCTTTTTTAAAAAAAAAAGTACAGTAAAAGCTTTGTTATCCAGCATGTTGGAGGAATGGGGTGTTAGTCAAAAATTCCAGTTAACTAAGAGTTATGCTTACCAATGGAGGGAGGGAGTTTGGTTGCAGGAGGCGGCTCAGGGATGAGGGTTGGGGTGTGGGAGGGGGTGTGGGCTCTGGGAGGGAGTTTGAGTGCTGGAGGGGGCTTGGGGTAGGGTGTTGGGGTATGGGAGGGGTTTTGAGGTGCTGGATCCGGGCGGCGCTCACCTTGGGTATTGGATATCCAATGGGAGCTGCAGAGCCAGCGCTCGGGGTGGGGCAGGGATAGCGCACAGAGCTGCCTAGTCACACCTCCACCTAGGAGCAGCTGGGACATGTCGCTGCTTGCAGGGAGCCACCCGAGGTGAGCGCCACCCGGATCCGGCACCCCAAAATGCTGTTTTCTAGAGCTTTCTGGTTGGTAAAGTGCTGGATAACACAGCTTTTACTGTATTGGGGGGGGAAAAAAACGGAAGTGTAAAACATAATAGGAAGGTAAATCGGAGGAGTGGAAAACCTTGCATTATTATACATTCTATACTGCTGGTTGTCAAATGTTGGTCCACAAAGCCCTTGATGATGTCCACAGAATGAAGTAATTGGGAATCAGTAGTAGGGGATTGGGATGTTAGGAGGATGGGAGGTGGTTTGTGAAATGATCTCTCGCTCTGTTATGAAATGGTCAGTAGAATTGAAGTTTTTGAGGATAGCTATATGGTATCATGAGAGAACTATCATTAATTTCTATGGTCAGGTAGCTTTCACATTTGTATTTTTTTGCTACTGATGTTCCTAGATAAATGAGTAAAAGGTAAAAGATGGTGGCTTTAACAAATTTTTGGTTAATTTTTAATATTTTTTGTAATGTCAAGACACTACTTTTGATAGATATTAGCCTTATGTTAGTCCAGTGCTTAAAATATTGTAGATTTTCTTTAGCTGTTCTGGAGAAGCTCTGTAGTGTAAAGATAAAGATACAGAATAAAATGGTAAAAAGGTACAAGAATGAGAAGATTATAAATAAATGTATAAAAGAAAAAGCCAAGCATTTGACTTGTTTGTAATGATATTTATACATTACTGGGGTAAAGTTTCTGGAACAAGGAATCTCAGCACAGTGAAATAATCTTTGGTAAATATTTAGGTCTGGTGTTACCATTAGTATTCTCCAAGAGCTTTAAGAAGTCAGTTCAAATTCCATAGTATTAAGCTAGTCATTGCTAATGATATGATTGGTTTGAATGATCTTCTTTCTGATGCAGATATAATAGCATTTGTGAAAGGAAGATAGAGGGATAGAATCACAGAATATCTGGGTTGGAAGGGACCTCAGGAGGTCATTTAGTCCAACCCCCTGCTCAAAGCAGGACCAATCCCTGCAGAAAAATAAAAAATGCTTAATGCAGTATTGCAGTAAAAAGTCACTTTGTGTTACAGGATGACATATCCCAAATTCACTGAAACCAGGAAGTATTATCAGTTTGGAGTGTATTGGTTTCAAGGCAAACCACTATCACTTGTATTGCTTGTTTCTGTCAGTGTTTATAACATGCTACCACATGTGGCCTATGTCATAACTAATAATCAGAATCAAGTAGGTTTCTTTCTAGGAGGCTCAGAAAATGCCAATTGTAATTATAAGCTTAATTTTCAAATTGGTTTGACAGTTCATTCAAGATGAGAAGCACTTCTTGAGTTTCCATATTGCAGGGCTGAGCAAACTGGACACTGCTTTCCTTTGATTTTTCCTTTCCTGAATTGGTAGAATATTTTTATTCCTGTTTGTGTTCTTAAATGTTTTCTGTATTTTGGGTATTTCTGTAATACTGGTTGATTAAGAGGTATCGTTTGCGTGTTTAAATATAGTAAGAAGTAGAAACAAAAAAAGAAAAATGGTCAAACTGATACCAGATTTTCACAAACAAGTTTTGTTAGTTTTAATATAACCTATTTATTGTATCCTATGAAATACATGTATTTTATGTAGCAAAGGTGTAAAGATCTCACTAGGTTAATATATATGTAAATTAATGTTAGCATCATGTCATGGAATTTAATTTTTCTTCCTTCAGATATCTATATGGTTTTGAAGAATACTGCACATCGGCTAATATTGAATTTCAAATGGCATTGCCAGAGAAAATGACGAATAAGCCCTGCAAAGAGTGTGAAAAAGAAAAAGAATTGAAAATGCGTGAAGAACCTGAACAGGATGTAAAAGAAATAAAAGTTGTTAAAGAAGAGCATAAGGAGGAGGAAGAAGTGATCATACAACAGGAAGAAACAAAACCAGCTGAGAATGATAATGAATGTAAAGAAGATGATAAACCCACCTTTCTGGTAAAATACTTTGTTTATGTTAAGCCCAGTTGCTAAATTGAGGTAGTGTTTGTGAGGGAAGTAGGAGGTAGGGTATTAAGTAGGGCTGAAATCACCTTGGTGGAGTTAAAAAAAACAAACACCTAAACAGTTTAGCACGTTGTCTTGATAATGCTTTGTTCTTTCCTTATTATTAATACTGATCATATCACAGCTCTGAAAATAGGGTTTGGTGGCTGAGAGCAGCTGCATAGCTAAAGGAGGATAAGTACAACATGGGCCAGATCCATCTCTGGATGTATGCTGGCTGCTGCAGAGGGTCTTGGAAGCAAAACATCCATGACCTCCTACAGAACAGCTACAACCTACAGTCAAATTCATACCAAAATGTGTGGCCTACTTTGGCCTGAAAGGGGCTGTATCCTCTTAGCAGCTATAATAGTAGGATTTCTGTTTTGAACCTGGCTTTAGATTTAAGTCTCAGTCCTACAGTGCATTGCATCTGCATGGACACCTTCTATTCCCATCCCCACACCAAAATCAGTGAAGTTCCACAAGGATTCAGGGATCCACCCCAGGTCAATGCATTGCAGAACTAGGACCTATGCACTTCAGAGGGATCTGCAGGCACATGTTTAAGCCTTTAGAAAGTGCCATTGAGGTTGTTGGGATTCTATGTAGGCATAAAGATTTGTCTGAGGCCTTGGCTACACTTGCAAGTTACAGCACTGTAAAGCCTCCCCCAGCGCTGTAACTCACTCCCCGTCCACACTGGCAGGGCACTTACAGCGCTGTATCTCCCTGGGTACACCGCTGCAGGTACTCCACATCTCCGAGAGGAATAACAGCTGCAGGGGAGTGCCTAGGACTCTGGGGTGTGAGTGTAAACGCTTGCAGAGCTGTACTAATCACCTTGTCAAGTGGCCAATCCTCTCCATTGTTGTGACCGGCTGCAGGAATGCGGAAGTGCCGGTTTCAAGCTCCTACCACAGAGAGAACCAAACAGTTTGTAGCTTGCTTTGAGTGAGTGAATGAATGAGCAGGGGGCCGGGAGTTCGGAACTTGCAAAATAGAGAGCTGACATGCTCCAAAAAGCACTCGAGATCTCTCCCCCCACACTCCCCGTCACAATCCACTCCACCCCCCACCCCCCCACCCCGTTTTGAAAAGCACGTTGCAGCCACATGAATGCTGGGATAGCTGCCCATAATGCACCGCTCCCAACACAGCTGCAAATGTTACAAGTGTGGCCACACCACTGCGCTGGCAGTGTGGACAGACTGCAGCACTTTTCCCTACTCAGCTGTACAAAGACAGGTTTACCTCAGCGTGCTGTACAGCTGCAAGTGTAGCCAAGGCCTGAGTGAAGTCATTTGTAAGTCAGGACTTCAAGCTACTCCCACACCACCCCCACAAAGACACCTGAAAAGGGTGGCAGGAGCACTACTTGACATCTGTTTTTAAGGCCCACTGCATTTAGGGTGAAATCTTTAAAAGGAAATTATCAAAGAGATGCTGTCAGTTTAAAAATTGCATTTAATAAAAACACTAGGCCCTAAGATTATTAAAGATGACTACATTTAAAATATTTTTATTTTTCATTTGAATGCTGTTAATTTTTTTACTGTTGTTCAGTTTGGAGAATGAAAATTGATTAGTAGGTTTTACTTTTAGTTTAGTTTCTAGTCAGCTTCGCTTTTGGAGTCTCGTGAATTTGGCACAATGAAACAATTTTGAGCCACACAGAAAAAAAATGTTAGTTTTTTGTTCAGAGGTTGTTTCCATTGGAATTGAACGAAATGTAAGGGAAACTAGGATGTCTTGAGTGTTTTTAAAGCTCGTTTTTTGAAAGAAATTTGGGTGCGGATTTGTTCTGGCAGTTTCACATTAAATGTTTCTTCTATTCAAAACATTAATGGTTGATTCTGTACCTTTGACTCAAGCAATCCTTCTGCAAAATTTAGTCATTTAATAACAAAGAATATACTGGGAATGGTAACAATCCTAAAACTTTGAATTATTTCTTCCAGTTGGTTAAGTGTGTTTTGTCTGCCTTTTTTCAAATACTTGTCATGTTGATTTCTATTGTAGGTTAACTGCATTTTTATATTTTCTTAGGAAAACAAACAAAACTTGCAAGAATCTATGTATACTCAGTCTGACCAGGAAAAGGAATTCAGTTCAACCAAACCAGAAGATGAAGCCAATCTTGGAGATAAAGAGGAAGAGAATATTAAAGAAATGGAAATTCTTAACACAAACATGGAGGCTGAAGAAAAAGAAAAATCAGGGTAAGAGGTTTTTTTTTAAGTTAAGGAACCTGATGTCACTGATGGTTAGTTAAAAATATGTTTGAACGTCAACATCAAACGGTATTGAGAGACCCTAATCCTGCAAAGACATAAGCATGTGCTTAACTTCATGTACCATGAATAATCCTATTGACGTTAGTGGAGCTACTCACATTGCTAAAGCGAAACATTTGTATGAGTCTTTCCAGGTTCAGAGCCTAAATATTTAAAACCCAGTGAGCAAGGGGAAACATACAGAGTATAAGTAATTTAAGTCTATTTGCTTAAAAAAATAAGGCAGCCATCCTAGTGGCCTAGTGTTTGCTCAGCTCTGCTACCTGTATGGGGTGGTTTTCTGGTTCCCACCTCTTGCTCTTGGGACTGTTATGGAGACAGTGTTATAGGAAGGGAGTATCTTGCATCTCTCAATAGCAGTCTTTGGTTGAGTAAGAGATGATTTTGACAGGATCAGAAGATACTCCTTTCCAGCTCTTCACAAGAGAAGGCGATTGCAAGTGAATTAAAATGAAGTAATATCAGTGCTGGGGCCCAGAGAGTCAGTGGATGAAACAGGGAAGCAGAACTTTCCTCCCTGCATGCATGTGTGTATGTATTCTCCACAAAACAATGGATAGAAAGGTTTTCATATTTAAACGCAAAAAGATTTGTTCCATGTATTACCTTCATACATCTGCCCTGAGGTCAAAGTGGAATGGACAGTTCTTAATTAGACCTAGCATAGCTAACAACTTACATCCTTGACAAGAACTGCATATACATTGTCGTGTGTCTGAGCGCTATTCAAAAGTTGGGAAATCCTAAACCATTGTGTTTTGGACACACATCCTGCCCCTTAGAATCATAGAATATCAGGGTTGGAAGGGACCTCAGGAGGTCATCTAGTCCAACCCCCTGCTCTCAAAGCAGGACCAGTCCCCAGATAGATTTTTGCCCCAGATCCCTAAATGGCCCCCTCAAGGATTGAACTCACAACCCTGGGTTTAGCAGGCCAGTGCTCAAACCACTGAGCTATTCCTCTCCCCTCCCCCCTTTCTCGTCTGAGGGTGAGAGCAGCCCAAAAGGTGATAGAACTTGTGTGGTTGAGCTGCAGGTGTGAAGAAGGTGTGCAGAAATGCTCTAGAACTGTGTTTTATGGAGATTCCATTCACTATACCATGGAAGGGTTTCCTGAGCCTGGAATATAGATGTGGCCACTGCACTGGATTTGGCCCATAGGAAATTGTGTAAATATTGTGTAAATATTGCATCATTGACACATTTCACTATGTAGAAAGGAGATAGTAAATAATTGATTATACAAAAAATATATTAGGTAGAGTAAAATAATTTGCATAGTTAAAATATAAGATGATACATTTTTAATTGGAAATCTACCCAGACAATAGAAAAAGTGTGGTGAAGAGAGTTATGCCTCTTACTTCAGAACTGAATTTGGCTCAGTGTCTTTAAAATATCACCCGGCAAGGTCTTTTAAAAGTGTGGGGACATCTTTCTAATACCGATGTTGACCAAATAACAATGTAAATGAAATAATAAAATTATAAAACTATTCTCAAATAACAATTTGTATCTGTTTAACTTGGGATCAGATTAGTTCCTCTACATGAGGAGAAGGCTTGCCTAGAGAATAGGAAGCTCCATGAGTTTCTCCTTGCACAGTTTCTACCAGACTGCTCCATTGTGGGGAAGGCAGGATTTCAGTCCCAGCTTGCAGATTTTGGGATATCTGCTGGAGGCCAGGAGTGTCTTTCTAGAGGGCCTGTACTCCACCTACCAGTGTCTTGTCACTCAGTCCTTTTGAAACAGGGTTTTCCTGCTGACCTCCCTCCTGTAATCCCTTCTAAATTGGGTTCCGCAACACAATGGGGCTCTGTGCAAAAGTTAATACAGAATGAGGTGGTATTAACTTTTGAGCTTTTCGCCTCCATTTTATTTTGTGTAGTGGGGAGGCTAAGTGTGATATCTGCAGCACACTAATTCCTCTCCGGTGCTATTCCCTGGCTACTCTTGTATCCCGACCATGTTGAGTAGTCTACACAGATCTGAAGACAGGGAGACAAAGCAGTATCTCCCCACCCCTTCTCTATGGGCAAGGATTGATGTATATGTATGGTCCTTTGTGTGCTGATTGAGAGGTAGACAATCTCTGGGCAATAGAAGATAATGAAAAATTGGTTTCTTAGTGTTCTTATTAGTGTCTTAGTGTTCTTATTGAGTATGTGGAACATCACTCTTATGTTGTCTGTTTCAAAGAGAACTTTCCAGAGTTTTGGAAACTCAACCTTCTGCCTAAATTAGAATTCCTTCATAGTTAATGTGTCCAAGAATAAAATGGTAAAAGGCTATCAGTCTGGCAACTTCAGGACATAAGTTTAACACTGCTAGTTTCAGGAAGAAATGTCCTCCAGCTACCTCAATGTAGTATTGCATAATTAGGTGCTTTCCTCTGTTGTGTCTATTGAATTATTCATTTTGTAAATATTGAAGGCCAAATGGACTATTTTTCTTCAATATGGCATTTCTTAACTTCCTAGAAATTGAGTCATTTGACAGAAAAAAATCCTTTAAAGATACCTTATGTGGAGACATGTCACATATATAAAGTACTATTGAAACAATCTGGCCCAACATTCTTTTTTGTGAGGGGATTTCTCATGGATAGTCAATGAAACTAAAAGGCAACAAATTTAAAACTAGTAACAAGAAGTACTTTTCTACACACAGAACAATTAGCCCATGGAACTTACTCCCTCGAGATTGAGGCCAAGAGCTTAACAGGATTTTTAAAAAGATTGGACATTTATATTGATAACAAGAATATCAACTTTTTATCATAAGGATTAAAAAAGCCAAACAAGATTTTTGAAACAGATATAAGACCTCATGCTTTAGGGCATAAGCCAAGCTCTGACTAATCAGAATTGGGAAGAAACTTTCTTTGTGGATAGTTTATTCCATAACTGCCCTCTGGAGGGGTTTCTTGCACCTTCCTCTGAAGTATCTGCTATTTTAGGATTAGTCTACGCTACCACCCTACATTGGCACAGCTGCACCGATGCAGCTGTGCTGCTGTAACGCATCTGGTGAAGACACGCTATGCCAACAGGAGAGCTTCTCCCCCCGACATAGTACAGTGTGGACACTGCTTTAAGTTGATGTAACTTATGTCGCTAAGTGGCGTGGTTTTTTCACACCCCTGAGCGACATAACTTACATCGACTTAAGTGGTAGTGTAGTCAAGCGCAGAGACACAATATTGGATTAGAAGGACTGCTGGGCTGAGCCAGTTTGGCAATTCCTGTGTTCCTGAGTATTGCCTTAGGATTAGTTTACACTTCACTGTTGGTTAGTTTACATTTCATTGTTTATATTGATGTTCCTCTGGCCTGGAGGTGGCCAGATAAGATTCTCTTTGGAGCCCTTCAAAGTAGCTCTTTTTATAGTGCTGGAGATCATAACTGAGAGATGCAAGATGCTCCATTCCTCCATGCACCTCTTCCTGGCCTGACTATGCTGTCCCTGAAACCTCTGCCTGGCTTGGGGTGCCATTGGCTGGATCTCCCTTTGGACTGTTGCTTACTAGCATAGAGCCCTAAGAGTGGGAGTACTGGATTAGCCCACACGCAACATTCTCTGCTTGCTAGTACCTGCAGATGGAATTCTAATTTTCACTGGCTTGAAATTTCCTGGACTCTTTCTCTGAGAGAAAAAGAATCTTGCTTGACCAACATCTACTAGGTCCTCAATTAATTTTTGGTTGTTGATGGAACATATGGTTAAGTATTTCTGACCAAAATATTTTCTTTTCTAAACCTATAGTTTTGAACTCCTCTGATCCTGATACTTCCACTTTTTAGCACTTGACCACAAATTTTCCTAGGAATTGAGGGTACGTCTATACTTACTTCCTGGTCCGGATGTAAGTGATCGATCTTCTGGGATCGATTTATCGCGTCTTGTCTAGACGTGATAAATCGATCCCGGATCGATCCCGGAAGTGCTCGCCGTCGACGCCGGTACTCCAGCTCAGCGAAAGGAGTACGCGGCATCGACGGGGGAGCCTGCCTGCCGCGTCTGGACCCGCGGTAAGTTCGGACTAAGGTACCTTAGTCCGAAGTGGGGGGTTAGTGTGGACCAGGCCTGAGACTAGCAGATTGTGCCAATATGGAAAAAAATGCTATTTAGCAGACTTAAAAAAGTCTTATAAACTAATAGCTCTTTTAAAAAGTTAAACAAATTACTTTAAAAACTAGGGGGAAATTCATGGTACATAAAATAGAGATCAAAATCTGATGGCAATTTTCTTCTCTGAGTGAACCTATGAATAATAAGAGTGGGCCTCACTAAGTGATTTAAGATGATCTTTCTCACTTAATAGTGAGGATAACATTGAAAACTTAGCCCTGTATGTGAAAGTGAGCAGTGAAATACCAGACAGCAAGACTGTGAACGCATATCTTTGCATGCACAAAAACCTGCATTTGTGTACCTTACTACCAGCTATGCATGTGCATATGTAAGCTTTTGTTTAAGGAATGCAAATTTTGTAGGCATGTTAATGAAGACCATTAGGGATTTTTTTTAAGACACTTAATGATAAGAATATGTAAGAAAGTAAGTCAGAAGCTGTGTTTCACATACAGGAGGTAACAGGTTAACAGATGTAGTGTGTTTCTTCTGCCCTTTGCAGTTTATTCTGTGGGTACGTCGAAAAGTAGCATAGTTGTTTTTTTTTAGTGTTGTTGTAGCTGTGTTGGTCCCAGGATATTAGAGAGACAGGGAGGGTGAAGGACCTGAAGAAGAGCTCTGTGTAAGCTCAAAAACTTGTGTTTCTCACCAACAGTAGTTGGTCCAGTAAAAGATACTACCTCACCCACCTTGTCTCTAGTTTTTTATTTGTCAGAAGAGGTATATTTTGAAGGCTTTGTGATGAATGAATGTAAAATTGTAGGAGAGGGATTTAAAATATCACAGGAAGG